CTGCAGGGGCTGAGCATGGAGATGGGTGGGAGTGGGGGCAGGTCCCCAGGATGGTGTGGAGAGAGAGAGGGGACACACACACACACAGAGCTCTCTGGGCTGTGGGGTATTTAGTTCTTGGGTAAGGCAGGGGTCTGGCTTCCAAGTTGTGTACAGAGAGGTGCTCTGTCTGCTGTAGTCACGCCTGGAGCTGCTTTCAATTTCCAGGTGAGAATCGTCCTGCCATAGAACCAAAGAGGCACCTGCTATCTGGGACTTTGGCAGAGGTTCCTTAAGTTTGGGAAGCATTTTTTCGGGAAGGCACACATCCTGTCAGACAAGCATTCGTTCTTGGGTGAGGAATGCCCGCCTCGGGAAGGGATGCATCCTGCTGTCTCTCTCTGAAGCGAAGCTGGCACTCCGTTTCTAAATGCCGTATTTCTGGGCTGTCCCCCCACCAGGCTTTGGTTTCATTGTTATCCAGCTTCGTTTCCCCTAAAATGACTTTTGTTCCCTTCCTCTTAAGGGAAGAAGTACATGAAGGAATATTTCCTGTATTTGCTGTAAGCTGACTATTCCTCATTTTCCCCAGTTTATCCAGCCTCAGGGGTGTGGCCCCCAGATTCTCCTCTTCTCTTTACTGGGAAGTGTGGGATCCTGCTCATCAGACCAGCCACGGAAGGCCACGGAAGGCTACAGCCTCCCCATGCCGCTTCTAAGCCTGGTCCTGACTGGGTTCTCAAGCCCTGGGCTGGGCTGTTCGCAGAGGGATCCCAGCCCCTCTGCCAGACCGGCAGCCCCCGCCAGGCGCTGGACCGGTCCTGACTCAGAGAAGCACAGCTGTAATGGAGAGCAAGGCATTCCAGGAGCAGCAGGCGGGCGTGGAGCTGCTCCTCCTGATGCATTATTCATCTAGGGACAGAAGAGGCGTCTGGGAGACAAGGTGTGGCCCCGGCACCATCTGCTTCTGCCCAGGCCTGCCCAGAGGGAGGAGGTCCCGAGGCAGAGGCCTCCTGCCCAGGCTCTGGCCTCCTCCTCCGCTCAGAACAGTGCTCTTCCCTGTCTGACGGCGCTCTGGCTCGCTGGTAGCCAGGAAGCGAGCTGAAATTTCACCCGATGGCGGCCAGGCCTCCCCGGCCCTAAACCCCAGCCCAGGTAAACCCAGAGCCTGAGGGGCTCTGCTGTCTGCGAGTGCTCTGAGGGTTCTCTGAGGCCCACAGCCTCATAGCGCGCTCTGGACCCACGGGCATGGGGGTCTGGTGGGAGCCAAGTCCAGGGCCTGGCATGGCGCTCAAGGGCCGGCCGGGGCAGAGCTGTCCTCTGGGCAGTCCAGCAGCAGGGCAGGGCAAGAGGAGGCTGGCACCCAGTGGAAAGCCGTGGAGTCGTCCCCTCGAGGGGGAAGCCGGGGCTGGATCCCACAGACCTGGGTGGACGGGGCCAGGTGGACGGGGGGCTGCCCAGCTTGGATCTGGGGTCATGCCAAGGCTCCTCCCCCACATTCACCCTGATGGTAGCTCTCAGGGCCAGCAGGGGCCGGACCTCACCCTGGGGAGGGAGGGGAAGCTTCGGAGAGGCTGGTGTTCACAGGGCCACAGAAGGCTCCCAGGTGGGCATGGCAAAAGCAGGACCATCCGGGACCCCTGTCCCCGAGGCTGTACCGCAGAGGGTAGGTTGGTAATGGGAGGGCCCAGGTGGGTAGGGGTGGCTGGTGCCAGCAGGAATAAGACGCACTGCCGTGGGAGGCGGCCTGGGCCCCGGATCTCCCACCCAACCTTCTGGAGAGCACGTGGGGTCCAAGGAGAGGAGTCCGTAAAGATCCACTTGGGTCTGGGTGCAGTCGCTCCATCTGCAATCTTAGCTTCTCATGAAGCAGAGACGGGGACGCAGATCAAAGTTCAAAGCCCGCATAGGCAGAAAGTGAGCAAGAACCCATCTTAGCCAGTAAAAGCAGGGTGTGCTGGTGCGGGCTTGTCATGCCAGCCACCGAGGAAGCACGAATAGAAGATTCAAGACCCGGCCAGCTCACGCGTAAATGCAAGACCCTACTTAAAAAGTAAGGAGAACAAAAATGGCTGAGGGCATGGTCCAAGCCGTAGAGTGCCTGCCTAGCAAGCTCAAGGCCTTGATTGAATTCAAACCCCAGAGCCACACACACACACACATACACACACACACACACACGTGGGAACAGGTATACCCATATGATTTTGGAGAACTGAGATGGCTCCCTGAAAGGCCCCAAAAGCCTGCTGAGCGTCCTGCCCCCACCTGCCGCCATCTGCCCCCATCTGCCCCCATCTGCCCCTACCTGCTTGTCTTCCCCAACCTGCCCCTGTCTGCCCCTACTAGCCTCTATCTGCCCCTTTCTGCCCCTGTCTGCCCCAGCAGAGGAAATCTTATGGACTGTAAGACCCTTAAACAACTAGAATCTAGACTGATACCTGCTTCTGGGCCATGACCCTGAAACTGCACCAGGAGCTCTGCCTTCTCCCCGCCCCTCCTCCCCCCATTCCTGCTGCCAGGTTTTGTCTGCCGCTGGGTCAGAGGTCAGCAGAAGCGGCACAGATGGCTGACCATCTCTAGGTGAGCTGCCTCAAGGGGCCGCTCAGCTCCGAGCCCCCCCCAGACCAGCTCAGACGCCCAGTGCCTGCAGGCCTTGGGGCCCTCTGCACCCCTGCAGAGACGGGGACGGATGAGAAGTAATGTGGCTGCAAACCTGCCTCCTCGGTGCCCCAGGCCCTTCCACAGCCCCTGACAGCGGGCTCCATTACAATGCTCGCCTAATTAGGGTAATTAACATGAAAGTAATCAGAGCAAAGGACCAGGAGAGCACTTATTAAACCTTCCCGCATTAATGGCAGGGGTCTGTGCCTTTCTGAATGTCAAGTTGCTCAAGAGTGGCTGGGCTGCCCAAAGGGTGAGTCCTTGGCCCTTCGGACCTATCTGCCCTTCACCTCTGACCTCAGCTGGGGGGGGCGGGGCTCAGACCACATCTGCCCACACCCCAGACCCCAGCTTGGGCTCCACCTTCCGCATCATAGCTTCCCCCCTGGTACAAGGACCCCACCCCCAGAGGGCTCCCCACCCCCAGCGGACCCCACCCCCAGCAGACTCCCCACCCCCAGCGGGCGGACCCCACCCCCAGCGGGCCCCCCACCCCCAGCGGACCCCACCCCCAGCGGGCCCCCCACCCCCAGTGGGGCCCCCACCCCCAGCGGGCTCCCCACCCCCAGCGGACCCCACCCCCAGTGGGCCCCCCACCCCCAGCAGGCCCCACCCCCAGCGGGCCCCCCACCCCCAGTGGGCCCCCCACCCCCAGCGGACCCCACCCCCAGCGGGAGGACCCCATCCCCAGCGGGCCCCCCCACCCCCAGCGGACCCCACCCCCAGCGGGCCCCCCACCCCCAGCGGACCCCACCCCCAGCGGGCTCCCCACCCTGTACCCTGTGTCATGGAGAGGCCGGGGCTGGCTGGGCACTGGGCTCCTTGCTTAGTGAGTTGGGCTGGGCACTGGGCTCCTTGCTTAGTGAGCTGGGAGGGGGCGTGCTTACAGCAGACCTTGCTGGGAGCTTGGAACTTCTTGGTCCACCCTCCACAGAGCCCCCCATTCTCAGACCATCCCCCCTCGGCCCCCTACTCCCCTTTCCTGGTCCCGCAGGATGGGGAAGTGGCTCCTAAAACACTGCTCCCAGCTGCCCCTTTCTTGACCTCAGTCCACACCTGGACCTCACTGGGAGAGAGGCGGACTGTGCGGGTCCTGCAGCCCGGAGAGGCTGTGCCAGGCTCGAGGGCTGCCCTGGGCTCCCCTGGCTGCCAGGCTCCAGCGGGAGCAGGAAGAGAGACGCAGAAACAGGCTGGGCGTAGAGAAAGGGGCCCGTCCTTCACCAGCCAGAAACAGGCTGGGCGTAGAGAAAGGGGCCCGTCCTTCACCAGCCAGAAACAGGCTGGGTGTGGAGAAAGGCCCGTCCTTCACCAGCCAGAGCAGGAGCAGCGGGTGGAGGTGGGACGCCGCGCGGGTGGGAGACCCCGGGAAGAGAGGGCGCGAGTGAAAAGCGAGGAGATTCTCAGAGCCGCGGAGGCAGGCTCCGGGATGCCTCTTCAAGGGTGTCCGGGCGCTGGCTCCCTCCTGGTCCCCAGCCTAGGGGGAAGCCGGCCTGGGGCGCGCGTGGCATGAGTGCATCTGGCCACAGGGGGCGCCGCCGAGCAGTCAGGCAACCTCAAGTGTTGACCCTCTCCCGGGAAACCCAGAGCTCCTCAAGCCACCCACTTTGCGTTGTGCCCGTGGGAGCGGCTGCCGGAGCCAAGGGCTGGGCCCAGGGTGTGCCAGGGGCCGGGCCAGGGGTGCCAGGGGCCAGGCTGGGGGTGCCGGGGGCCGGGCCGGGGGTGTGCCAGGGGCCGGGCCAGGGGTGCCAGTTCTGTCCCCAGAACTAGGGTTTCCAGGGCCGCAACCTTCCCAGTGCCCACCGGCCAAGGCAAGTGAGAGTAAGTGTGTGTGTGTGTGTGTGTGTGTGTGTGTGTGTGTGTGTGTGCACGCGTGTCTGCCTGTGTCAGGGGCTCGCTGGGGACCCTGGGCAACAGGCACTTGTGAATGGAAAATTACGGGTCCCATTAGTCCTTTGGCAATAGTGGGGAGGGAAGAGCGGCAGGTTCACGGAACCCCCCTCAGGCACCTCCTGCCCCACCCACGGCCAGGCCTCCGACCCCTCGAGCCACTCAACTTGTGGCCCCTCCCACCCGCACGGGCTGGGGGTCCGTCTCCTGAGGTCCCATACCACACAGGAGGCCTCTGAGTCCTGGGAGGGGCAAAGGATGGGGCCGGGGCCCGGCTGTGGACCGGCCGTGAGGGAGCACCGTGAGAGCCCTTAGCGACTGGGTCCTGGTCCCCACACCCGGCGGCCGCACCCACCCTGGGATCTCAGCAGGAGGGGTCCGGAGGCTGCAGGCCGGTGGACAGGACACCCAGGGAGCCAGCTAACCACAGTCCCCTCTCCAGGTGACATGGGCCAGTGGAGGCCGCAGAGATGACGTCCGCCCAGACCCTGGTGGCCTCCCTCTGCCGGGAGGGGGACCAGCAGCTGGCCCTCGGGGAGCCAGCCCTGGCCACCGCCTTCTACCTGGCCGCCTTCAGCTGTCACGCCCCCTCTGCGGTGCGTGCTGTGCAAACCGCCCTGGCCGAGGCCCGGGGAGGCCCCGTGGTGGCCACCCTGGAGGCCTGGTGCTGTGGGGACAGCCAGATCCCTGCCATCTGCTGGGACGGCATGGCGGTGGTCTCACTGACGGGAACGCTGGCCTCTGCGTTCCTGGCCGCCCTCTGCCCGGACCACCCCGCCCGCGTCCTGCACGTGCTGGCTGGCCTGCTGGCCTGCGGGCACCACGAGGAGGTGGCGGAGCGCTGTGGCGAGCTTCTGGACGCCTGCGCCCCCCAGGCCCTGGAGCTGCAGCTCACGCGTGCCCTGGCCTGGGTTCTTGAGGGGAAGCGGGCCGGCCAGGGCGTGGCCGCTTACCTCCAGGCCTTTGCCTCCAGCTCAGCCCGGACCGTGGCCTTCATTCGCACGCACCAGCTGCCCTACCTCCCCTCGCTGCTCACCGCGCTCCGAGACCGCATCTCGGGACCCGCGGAGGCCACCGACAGCGCCAGCGGGCCGGAGTCGCACTGCCGGGGACTCCTGGCAGCCCTGGACCCCGGGAACACCTGGTGCGATGCCTCATCCCCCGAGGCTCTGCTCCGCGGAGGCCAGTTTGAGGCCTGCCTGGAGGCCTGCAGCCAAGCCCTGCAGGCTGACGCCATGGACAGCCAACCCCAAGGTACGAGGGTGAGCCAGGCCTCACGTCCTGCTGTGGTGGGAGGAGGGGTGGAGCCTGGGCTGGTGACACCACGGTGCCAGCAGAGGCAGGCCCTGGTCCCCCACAAGCACCCAAGTGGGGAGCCCACAAGTGTGTGTTGAAAACTGGGGCAGGCAAAGTGCAGCGGTCGCCGGTGATCAGGGAGGGCTCCTCAGAGGGGGTGGCGTCTGAGCTGAGACCAGAGGGTGGCAGGCAGCAGAAATGGCACACGCCGAAGCCCGTGGAATGCAATGATCAGGACCGAAGCGGCCGGTGGGCAGCGTGGCTAAGTCCCAGAGGACTTTGGAGCTTACCCTCGGAGCACTGTGGCATGTGGGGCTCCCTTGTGTGCCTTCTGAATTTCTTCCGGCTGTTTTGTGTAGAATAGAAGCCCAAGGGAAGACAGACCTGCTGGGAGCTGGGAGGCTTGGAGGCAGCCGGGAGGGTGGAGAGGCCACGGGGTCCCTAGAAGAGACAGCAGAGCTGAGATCAGGGAGAAAGGATTGCTGACCAGTGACCATGGTGGGTAGACTTAGAGCAGGGGCTGGCGGGAGCTGGCACAGGGACTGGCGTGGGGAGGGCCGGGACGGGCAGACTGGAAAATGGGTGTCAGGAGCTCCTGACCTCCCTAGATTTCTTTCGCTCTAACAAACAAAACACCTGAAATCATCAGCTGGTTGAGAAGGCGCAGGGAAGGGCCAGGCAGAATGGGCTGGGCCGGATGGAAAATGCGTGTCCACACCAGCCAGGCCCGTCCCTGCACCGCTCCCCATAGACCATCAGGGGGCGCTCCGTGACACCGCACAGAACCCTGGGCCTCCGAGACACGGGGTGCCCAGGGGGGCAGTGAGTGGACCCTCAGGGACCCCAGGGCCAGGGGGACAGAGACATTCTTCCAACCTCTGCTAGCAGAGCTGACCAGCAGCACTGTCCCCTCCGTGTCCACCAGTGCTGACCCCCCCCCCCCGCCCCGTGTGCCAGCAGCGCTGCTCCTCAGGGGTCGGTGGTCATCCGCCCCACTTCCGGGCTCCAATGGAAATTCATCTGAAACCCCCTTGGCCCGGCCCCCATTCCAGCCACTGGCTTGAAAGGTGGCATTTCCTCTGCAGGGGCTCCGTGCCCCTCACCCCAAGGGCGCGCGGAGGCCGGGCCCTGGCAACCTCGCGGGACACCGCTCCCAGGAAGGGAGGGGCTAAGTGGTTTTCTGTCTTATTTGGGCATCTTGGAGCCCAGTGCTTCCCCCTGAGAAACAGAGATGTCCCCGGCGGAGCAGGACAGAGGGCCGCGCAGCAGCACCTCAGGAAGCACCTCGGCCCTGGTGGCCACAGAGCAGGGCCACGACCTGACCCACCCAGGAACGGGGTCACCCGTCCAGTCCCGGCAGCCAAAGCCGGAGGTCGGAGCAGAGGTCCTGAGCAAAAGCAGCTCTAGCCCCAACTTCTACCATCGCCACAGACCCCAGGGTCTAGGGGGGCCATTATTCACGCACCCACCTGAGAGTCCGCCCCCCACATTAGATCCTGCAATCTCACATCTCCTAGACTTGCCTTGTTTTTTCTTCCCATCACGTCATTCCTGCCCTCAGCCCCGCTGACCTCTGTCTCCATTCTGCTCTGATTGTTTTTTCCTTTCATTCATTGCACTTTCCAATTACTGTCTCCACGTTTTCCTTTGTCTTTTCTTGTTAAGCCAGGCTGATACTATGTTGTACTTGCTGTCCTGGAACTTGGCAGCCCCCATAGCCTGAACTCCAGCTCGAGGGTTTGCATTTGGTTCTTATTTATTTATTCACTTATTTTTGCTGGTACTAGAGCTTCAACTCAGAGCCTGGCATTGACCCTGAGCGTGTGGTGTGTGTGTGTGTGTGTGTGTGTGTGTGTGTGTGTGTGTGTGTGTACGCACACACGCTCATCCATCCTTGGGGCTTGAACTCAGGGGCCTGGGTGCTGTTCTTGAGCTTCTTTTGCTCAAGGCTATCATTCTACCATTTGAGCTACCCCCACTTCTGACTTTTTTGATGGTTTATTGGAAAAAAGAGTCTCACAGACTTTCCTGCTTTGCCTGGCTTCCAACTGTGATCCTCAGATTTCAGTCTCCTGAGTAGCAGGATTACAGGCATCAGCCACATGACTAGCTGTTTGGCTCTTTCTAATTGTTTCTGTTGATCTATGGAGATTCTACATCTGTTTATCCATTATAACCCCATTTCTTTAGACTTTGATTATACTCACTTTCTTTAAAGTCCTTCGTTAGCTAACTCTGGCATCTGGATTACTGTGAAGTCAGCTTCTGTTGATTTTCCTCTGGTTGTGGTTCAGGACTTATTAATTTTGATGCTGGGTCTCGCTATGGAGTATGTGTGCTGGCCTTGAACTCACTTTAGAGACTAGACCAGGTTGGTCTCAAACCTGCTATCCTCCTGCGTGCTGGGGTTACAGGTGAGCATTGCTCACTAGCCTATTCTGCTTCTTTGCTGTGTGTGTGTGTGTGTGTGTGTGTGTGTGTGTGTGTGTATGTGTGTGTGTTGGTCCTGGAGATCAAAGCCAGGCTCTTAGACAAGGCAGGTGTGCACAGACCACTGACCTATGTCCCCAGCCCCATCTGGTATCTCTTTAAATTGCACATTAGATGTCTGGTTAAGGCTTTGGAGAGCCTCTGGGTTCAGGTATGGCCCTCTGACTAGGGTTGGGCTTTGTTTCAGTAAGAAGTTCAGTTGGTTGAATTCAAATTCAAATACTGTCTTTTGTTCTTCTGAGGGTCAACATCTCCATTTAGCTCCCTTTTTAAATTGAGGGTTAAACTCACGGCCTCAGGCTACTTATTACTTGGGTTAGACACCCAGACCTTTGTGGTTGTGTTTTGTTTTTGAGATACAGACTCACTATCTTTACCCGGGCTGGCCGGAAATCCTTGATCCTCCTGCCTTTGTCTTTTGAGTAGTTAGAATTGCAAGCGTTTGTCACTGTTGGACATTCTGCAGTTCCAGAACCACTTATGCATTTTACAGGTCACTTAGTTTTCCTGTAAGACTCTGCGGTCTGCCCAGGACGTAAGCGGATGTAATGGACGGGTTTTGTATCTTACCCCTCCTGTGGCTCCTAACTTCCAGGGCTCTGGGCTCTGTCTTATGTCATCTGAGGACAATAAAGCTGCAGGTTTCTCTTGTGCCTGAAACATAAATTAAGGAATTGGCAAAGGCAAAGGGCACAAGCTTTGCAAACTTCTGCCACACGTCCCGGCTTTCAGGGACAGCTTCAGTGTCTGCCTGCGCTGGGTGCTGTGCAATGGCTTCAAGGAGTGGCTTCCGGTATTTCACATGATTTTAGTTATTGTTACCTATGGATCATGCACCCAATGAAGCAGTTACACTATTAGCAGACCCTGGATCCTCTCTTGTAAAGTTAACACTACAGACCAGGGAGAGACATACGCTGCTATGCCACTGTTGTTTTAATTTCCATTTTCCTGATTACGAGTAGGTTCACTAGTTTCTTTTCAGTCTGGTGGGTAGAAAGGTGACAGGCTCTCACTGCTTTAACACACATTTGTGTCATTACTGTGATGTCAAGTATCCTCCACGTGTTTTATGGGATATCTGCTTTCTCTATGGGGAAATGCACTCGTTAATAATTCTTCTTCTTTTATATTTTGCCAGTCCCGGGACTCAAACTTAGGACCTGGTTGCTGTCCCTGAGCTTCTTTTGCTCAAGGCCACCACTCTACCACTTGGGCCACAGAGCTACTTCCGTTTTTTTTTTTCTGCTTATGTGATGCTGAGGAATTGAACCCAGGGCTTCATGTATTCTAGGCAAGCATTCTACCACTAAGTCACATTCCCAGCCCTTCTTAATTCTTGGATTTTTTTTTTCTTATCACTAGGTCAGAAGGCTTCTGATATTCTGCATTTTTTTCTAGCCTATTGTTTATTTGAAAAATATCTTTTCTACCTTTGTAGATTGACCTCTTTATTTTCTATAGTTTGGTGCAAACAGAAGGTTTATAATTTTCTTTTTTGTGCTAGTACTGAAGCTTGACCTTAAAGCCTGGATGCTGTCCCTTAGCTTTTTCTGCTCAAGGCTAGCACTCTACTACTTGATCTACGGCTCCATTTCTGGGCTTTTGGTGGTTAATTGGAGGTAAGAGTCTCATGGACTTTCGCGCCTGAGCTGGCTTTGAACTGTGATTCTCAGATCTCAGCCTCCTGAGTAGCTAGGATGACAGGTGTGAGCCACCGGCATGTGGCTTAGGAAGGTCCGTTTGTGAACAGTTGGTTGTAAAATTAACTCTTCATAGAAATAATTCTTTGTTGGATTACTTCCTTGTAGAAATAATGCCTCAGTTTTCATCATACACTACGTTGGGCAAGGGGATTGGTGGTGAGGTGACCCTTGACCTCTGTGACTTGGGTCCTGGGGAAGGTGACCTCTGCCCACCACAGAGCCACGGAAGGCTCACACTCGCCTGGAGGTGGGGTCTTTCCTGGCACTCACTGCATTCCTGAGGCCTGCAGCCCTGGGGGGTCCTGTGGCTTCAGGGCTCCATCGCTGCACGGCTGTCAAGTGGGGGTCAGCGCTGCTGGCTCATGGGGCAGGGGTCAGCGCTGCTGGCACACGGATGGGGTCGGTGCTGCTGGCACACGGGGCGGGGGGCAGACGGGGTGGGGGACCTGGTTCTTCTCCCGCCCGGTCCCGGGGCTTCTGGACCCTGCGCTCCGGGGCTGGTGACTCGGGCCCGGTCCGGGCGCTAACCCGAGGCGCCTCCGCTTCGTCCCCAGGGGAGCGCCTGGCCGCGCTGCTGGTCACGCGCGCGGCGGCCGCCTTCTTCCTGGACGGGCGCGGCGGGGACGCGCTGCGGGACCTGCACGACGCCTTCCGCCGCAGCCCGGCGCGCGCGCGGGCGCAGTTCCAGGCTCTGCTCTCGGCCGCGGACCGGGCGCGCGTGCGGGCCCGGGCGCAGGAGGCCGCGGACCTGGGCTTCGCCCGCTTCCAGGAGGCCGTGCGGAGCCGCCCTGCGCTCCGCGAGGACTCGGGGCGCGAGCTGCTGGCTCCGGTGACCCGCGCGCTCCGCGTCCTGCTCCGCGTGGCGCCGAGCGGCGCGCGCCCCGCGCTGGGGACCCGCCTGGCCGAGTGCCTGCTGCTGGCCGGGGACGTGGCCGGAGCTCGGGCGCTGTGCGATCGCCTCCTGCGGCCCCGGGGGCCCGGGGGCCCGGCGGGGCCCGGCGCCGAGGACCGCGCGCCCGCGCAGGCGCTGCGCGGCTTCTGCGCGCTGCACGCGGGCGACGCGCGGCGCGCCCGGGAGGACTTCCAGGCGGTGGTGACGCGGGGGCCGCCGCACGCCGGGGGCTGCGCGCGCGCGCTGTGCGGCCGCGGGCTGCTGCGGGCGCTGGCCGGCGACGCCTTCCTGGGGGCGCTGGACTATGTCACCGCGTGCAGGCTGCGCCCCGAGGAGGCCCTGCTGGCCGCCAAGGCCTTCGTGCCCTGGAATCAGCGGGGCCTGCTGCTGACCGTGCTGCGGGAGGAGGCCCGCGGGATGCTGCTGCGAGCCCGGGCCCCCGGGCCTGCGCGCGCTCCCGGCTGCGGGGGCCAGGCGGCGGAGACCCGGATGGAGCGCCCCGCGCAGGAAGGGTGAGCCACTCGCTCAAGGCTCTGGGGTGAGGGTCAGAGGGGTGCATAGCCTCGTCTCACGCCTGAAATCCCAGCTGCCCAGGAGGCTGAGACCTGAGGATCACAGTAGGAGCTGGCCCAGGCAGGAAAGTCCACAGGACTCTAATCTCCAATCAGCCACCAAAAAGCCAGACATGGAGCTGTGTCTCAGGTGATAGCCATTCTGAGTGAGAAAGCTAAGGGACAGCACCCAGGCCCTGAGTTCAAGCCCCTGTACGGGAACAAAAGCCTCTCTGAGGCTTTGCCCGGGGTGGTAGCCACCCTGTGGGAGTGGTGGACATGGTCAGAGGGTGGTGGCCAAGCAGACCACGTGGAAGGGGCACCTGGGGGCTTGAGGACACAAAGGGGGGCCATCCCCTGAGGCCCAGTGGGAAGGCAGCCGTCCAGGCCGGCCCTCGGGGGTAGGGTTCCCTTGTTCAAGTTGCAGGGAGGCCACACCTGGAATCCACACTCCCTGGGAGGCAGAAGCTGGAGCATGGGGGGTGTGAAGCCAGCTCAGTCAAAAAGCCTGCCAGACGCCCATCTCAACCAGCAAGCCAGGCATGCACCTGGGGTCCCAGCTACACAAGAGTCGTGGGTGACCCTTCCCCCAAAATAACCAAAGCGAAAAGGGCTGGGGGCATGGCTTACGTGGTAGAACTCCTGTCTGGCAAACAGGAGGCCCTGAGTTCAAACCCAGTACCCTCAGGAACAGACAAAGAACGAGCGCAGGGAAGGGGCTCGCCCACGCTGAGCCCCGCTCCCTGCAGGGATGCCCAGGGCGTGTACCAGCTGGCCACACTGCTGCTGGAGCTGGACGTGGACGATGAGACATCGCGCCTCCTGGTGGCCGACTGCCTGTACTGCCTGGGCCGCCTGGAGGAAGCCCACAGGTGCTTGCTGGTGGCCCTCTCTCGGAGGCCCCAAGCAGGCCCTGTGCTGGCCAGGCTGGCCCTGCTGCAGCTGCGGAGGGGCTTCTTCTATGACGCCAACCAGGTGAGTAAGCCGGGCAGGTAGAATTGGGCACCGCTCCGTGGAGGGCACGGGCCTCCTCCAGCCTTGGCTCTGTGGCTTCTTCAGCCCGGGCTCTGCCACCTGCACAGGCCCTCGCCTTTCCGACCCTCAGACTCCTCACCTGTGCCTGTGTCTATGGGTGTCGTGGGGGTTGACTAAAGCCAGAAGCCCAGAGCCTGGCAGGCTCCTGTGCGCGGTAGATACTTCACATTTGCTTTGACAGAGGTTATGAAGAAAAGGGCCAAGGTTGGATCCCACATACACTAGGCTGGGGCATGCCTGTGCCCAGGATGGGGAGTGGACAGCGGAAGGGGCCCAGCCTGTCCCTGAGCCTTGCCTGCCTCCTTACACCTGTGCGGAGAGACCCTTCCTATTTGTGCCAGGACCCACAGGCCAATTTGGGAGAACTTCAGGCTTTGGAGTCTGGGCTAAGGCACCTGCCAGCCTCTTCGTTTCTCTCTGGCCTGGTTGGAGTCCTGGTCCTCTTGGCCCAGGAGGGCCCCCTGGAGGGCAGGACACTCTTGGATCCGCTGTCCTGCTCCGCCCTGGGAGCGCATCTGCACCAGCAGCCAGCAGGGGACAGCACTGGGAACCCTTGGGTGGCTTGGGGAGAGACATTTTTGTCTTCTGAGGGTCTTGCCCTGCCCCAAGCATGGACTGACCCTGCTTGGCCAGGCCTGAGCTCCTGCTCCACACCTTCTGAATGACTTCCTTGGGCCTCTGTAGATTAGAGATTGCAAGCTCACGCCTGTCATCCCCACCTCCCCCCAGCCAGGTCTCCACCTCCTGGGACAGAGGAGACTGGAATCGGAGCCATAGGGGCCCTGAGCCCACCCTGCCCAGTACTGCAAGTGAGGACCAGAGCCTCCCTTGAGAGCCCACACACAAAGCTTGGGCCCACCTGGGCTCAGCAATGAAGCAGAGAGGGGGCCGATGCCGGCATGGGGAGGGGAGGAGCGAGGGAGATGGGAGCCGTGTATGCTGGGGGCACGGAGCAGAAGGTAAGAAGGGGCATTGGGGCAGAAGGGACGTCAGGGGTCACTCTGCTCCTGTCCCCACAGCTGGTGAAGAAGGTGGTCCAGTCCGGAGACACGGCCTGCCTGAAGCCCACCCTGGACATCTTCTGTCCTGAGGACAGACAGCTCCTGAGACACCACTGCCACACCCGGGCCTTGAGCATCCTGCGGGCACGGCCAGGCGGGGTGGACAGCGAGGCCCACACCAGGGAGGCCATCGCCTACCTCTCTCTGGCCATCTTTGCCGCAGGTAGGAGCTCCCACCTACCCAAGAGCCACAGTGCTGCACTGGCCACAAGTCCTGGGGGCACACATGGGTGAGCAGGGTGGGGACTCCTCACCAAGGGCTCTCCTGCCAAGGCCCTGGCTCTCTCTACAATCCGATCAAGGCTTGGAAGGGTCTGGGCCAGCAGACGTCCGGAGGGGCATGGCAGCGATGTCTTCCTTGAGGGAGGATCTCCTCTTCCCAGAATTTAGGGCCTCCTCCCTGGCTTCTCCACAGAGGCCTCACCTCCTCTCACTCATGCCATGCTCTGAGGAGCTGCTCCTGCTGGGCCTCCCCTGGCTTTGCCTCAGTCCACTGCATGGCCTCCAGCTGTCCACCAGACCCCACCCACCTGACCTGTGGCCAGCAACCAGGCCAGCCTGTCTTGTTGCCCCGTGGGGTGAGAGCTTCCCAGGATGAATCCTGCAATCTGGACCCACCTAGGATGGGCATCAGAGGGACACCAGATGAGGGGACACAGGGGGACAGCAGAGGAGGGCCCAGCCACAACCATGTCCTAACACACATGCCTCCTGCAGGGAGTGAGGCCAGCGAGCCCCTCCTCACTCGAGCTCGCTGCTATGGGCTCCTGGGCCAGAAGAAGACCGCCATGTTTGACTTCAATTCTGTGCTGCGGGCAGAGCCAAGGAACGTGCAGGCTCTGTGCGGACGGGCTCTGGTGTACCTGGCCCTGGACCAGCTGCAGGTGCCAGACTGCCCTCCTGACCTGGGTGGGGGAGACCCAGGGCCCTCCTTTCCTTCTGGGGAGGCCAAGCAGGGTCAGGTCATCATGAGCTTTAAGACCAGAGTCTCCCATCCTCCCATCTGCACTGTGGGTGATGGGACCACATCCCCAGGGAGCTCTGCCTATCTGTGAGCCCAGTCACAGTCTGCATGGATAGATAGCACTTAAGCCCTTCGGTGAGTGGAGGGTTCTTGTTTAAACTAACTCCTCAGTGGAGGCAAGGGTCCCTCTAATGGGGTGTGGGCCTTGAGGTAGCCCCTCAGCTGCGTGGGTGGGGGGATATATGCACTCGTGTGTTGCAAAGGGTTTGTAGAGCAAGTACAGAGGAAGAAGTATCAGCTTTGATTAGTCATGTCTGCCACACAGGAATGGAAACTTTCAGACTCTGATTTAAGCTTAACATACTTGTTTTTTTTTAAGTGATATTTATGTTATATATTTAAGGCCTTGTACATATAGGACTTGAGTCCAAAATGAAATACCAAGGGCCAGACTGGCTGGAATAAACCCCATTCACACGTCAGAGACACAAAGTCCATGCCTTCCCCAGGCCTGCCCCTGAGCACAGGCACAGGAACTCAAGACATTAGGGTTCAGACCCAGGTGGGAAACCTCAGCTAGAGAGCTTCACCTCTCCTGCTTCAGTTTCCTCTCCTATAGGACAGGCTGCTAGACAGCCAAGCAGAGGAAATCACAAGGAACATTGTAAATGCTGAAAGATGAATTAAAATGAAAACAGTACCGTGTGAGACACGACCAAAGTGATGCTGGGATGTTTACAGATGCCAATGCTACAAACACAGCAGTGTCCACACCTGTAATCCCACCTCCTGCTGCTACTCAGGAGGCAAAGGCAGGAGGATCAAGTTTTGAGGGCTGCCTGGACAATGTTAGTAAAACCCTATCTGAAAACAGAAGGGCTCGAAGTGTAGCTCAAATGGTAGAGTACCTGCCTAATGAGTATGAGTCCCTATAAAGAAAAAGGAGAAAGAGAAGAAGATGAGGAGGGGGAGGAGGAAGAGGCGGAGGAAGAGAATGAGAAGGAGAAGCAGCTGCTTCAAATCACCAGCCTCAGGAACTATAAAAAGAACCACCCAGATTGGATAACCTACATGATATGGTGGCATGGACAAAGTTGAACGAAGAAGTATAAAATTTACCAAGGCTATGACTAGTAGAGATTTAACCAGTCATTAAAACTTTCCTGATGGGCTAGAGGGATGGCTCCAGTGGTAGAGTGCTCATCTAGCAAGTCTGAGTTCAAGCCCAAGCACTGCAAGATGTAGGAAAGAAAGAAAAAGGGAGAGAAGGAAACAAGAAGACAAGCCCTGGACCTTCACAGCTGAGCTCACTAAACATTTAAAGTACATCAATCCTCAAACTTTTCTTTACAAATAGAAGAGCAAGGGTGCCTCCTAACTCATCCTGACCCAGCATCCTGGGGCACCAAAGCCACATGACACAGCACACAGACATCCTTCATGAGCACTGACACTAAACTCCTCAACAAATACTAGCACAACAAATTCAGCAGCATGCAAAAGGTTTATACACCATGACCAGGAGGGGTTTGTTGATGGTATGCAAGGATGGTTCGATCTCCATTACATGTCATTATGGGATGAAGTTGGGAAGCACAAGGCCCTCTCAACAGAAAAGGCATATGACATAACTTAACACTCTTCTATGATTAAAAACACTCAGCAGGCCAGACGCTGGTGGCTCACGCCTGTAATCCTAGCTACTCAGGAGGCTGAGATCTGAGGATCACGGTTCAAAGCCAGCCCAGGCAGGAAAGTCCGTGAAACTCTTATCTCCAATAAACCACTAGAAAACCGGAAATGGCACTGTAGCTCAAGTGGTAGAGTGCTCGCCTTGAGCTGAAGAGCTGAGGGACAGCGCTCAGGCCCAGAGTTCAAGCCCTACAACCAAAAAAAAAACCACCAAACTAACAATAGACAGAAATTACCCCCAATATAATAAAATGCATATGAAAACCAACAGTGAACATCAGACCAAATGAGGTCAGGTCAGAAATAAGGCAGGGCGGACACTTGAATCACTGTTCAACACAAGGCAAAAGTTCTACCCACAACTATGTTAAGAGAAAGAAACATGAGGCTTGAAAATGGGAAAGGAGGAAGCAAAACTACTTTTGTTGCTTTGTTACAAATGATATATAAGTAAGGATTCCATGAAAAGCATAAATAAAAGTCTATTGGAATTCAAATGAATTCCACACAGCATCAGGACACAAACTCAGCACATGAAAACCTGCTGCATTTTTTTTTGGTCAGTCATGGGGATTGAACTCTGGGCTTGGGCGCTGTCCCTGTGCTCTTCAGCTCAAGGCAAGCGCTCTACCGCTTGAGCCACAACGCCACTTCCACCTGCTGCATTTTTGATGACACACAAACTACAAAAAAAAAATCCATAAAGGAAATTTAGAAAGCAGTTTCATTTACAATAGTATTAAAAATAACAAAATACATAGGAATATTCTAAAAATAAATTCAAAAAGTGTATACAACAGAAACTACAAAACATTGATAAAAGGGATTAAACACAAATAAGCAGAAACACATCCCACACTCACAGGGTAGGAGGCTTAATACTACTGGTCTACAAACTCCATGCAGTCAACCCCGTGCTGTCCAGGCTCCATGGCCTCACAGCTGACATCGTAGCTACACGGGAGGCTGAGATGGGGAGAATCAGGGTTTATGGAGCAATCCTGGCCAAAAGTTCATGCAATGCCCATCTCCGAAGCAAAAGCTGCATATGGTGGCCTATGCCTGTCATCCCAACTAAATCTGGGAAGTGTAAATAGGAGGATCAAGGTTCAGGCTACCCTGGAGAAAAAGCAAGAACTCTATCTCAAAAAGAACCAGGGTGAAAAGAGCTGGAGATAGGGCTTAAGCCGTGTAGTGCCTCCCTAGCCCACATGAGGCTCTGAGTTCCAGTCCCAGTCACCAAAAGGAGAAGAAAAAAAAAAAAAGCATTGTAAAATTCATATGACATTTCAAGGGACAGTGAACAGTGAAAGCCATCCTGGAAGAGGACAATGCTGGATGATCCTAAGCTTCCTACAAAGCCACAGAGGCCAGCTGCAAATGACTTACCTTATCAACGGATGATCCCTGATCCCCCATGCCCTCTTAAAGAGGCCCGGCCTCTCTGCCCTCTGCCTCCCTGCTTCCCCGAAACTCTGACCTGTGTGCACCAGCCACGTCCACCTCTCCCCATGTTGGGCTTTCTGTCAGGCAAGCCCTCCCTGTCCAGTCCTTAGTATACTTAATGATGCTGGGCCTTGACATGCCCGCAGGTAGCAGTGCCAGGAGGCTGAAATGGAGGATGGACAGTAGGCACAAGGTCGGGCAGACACACAGACCAGGGAGCCGAGTCCTTCAAATGCCTGACCAGAGACAGGTCATGGGGGAGATGGCTGCAGGAGAGGATAGAAAGGAAGGCTGGAGGCGGGGTGGAGCAGATCCGCTGGGGCCCCAAGGGGAGAACTGAGAATGGAAAGACGCCGGCCACACTCCCGTTCTGCCCACCTGCCTCTGCTGGGTGACCCCACACCCACCCCACTCTCCTCTCCCCTAGGAGGCCGTGGAGGACATTGTCTCTGCTCTGAAGCTCAACCCAGAGCTCGTGGTCCCTGAGATCCGCTCTCTAAAGCCAGAAGCCCAGGCGCTCCTCACCCGGGGCCTCTACACGCACTGCCGGGCCCTGCTGGGCCAGCGGGCGGGCGCGAGTGCCCCCTGCGAGGACGAGGACTCCAGGGGCCTCCTGGTTGTCGGGGAAGCACTTGTCAGAGTCGATGCTGCCCAGCCAGCCTGGCACGTCCTGCTCACAGACATCCTGACAGCACTGGGTATGTGACAGCCCGGGTGGGCACGTGGAGAGCCTCTCCCACCTCCCAGCCTCCGCACGCCTTTCTGCGAAATGAAAGAGCCCGGGACTGTTTCCACTGCGGCCCTGAATGCTAGCCCTCCCTCTGGCAGCTCTCCTGGTTCTCCAGCCACACAGACCCGACCTGACCCTCCCCTGGTCCACTCCATGTCCAGCAGGTGCCAGGCTGTGTTCTGGGCATGTGTGTGCCCAGGCAGGACTTTCCTGGCATGGAGTCCTGAGGTGCAGTGGCCAGTGCTGTCCCCTCCTGGGGCTGGTTGTGCCCTTACCAGCTGGACCTTGGTCAGCAGGCAGAGCAGGGGAGGGCGGGGCAGCAGGGTGACCCCCTCATGGGCACTCCTGCGCTACAGCCCCGCTGATGACTGAGTTTCCTGGACCTGACAGGCAGCTATGAGGAGGCTGGTGCCCACCTGCAGGAAGCCCTGAGCCCCCCTCCACCGCCAGAGGCAGCCCAGGCCCGGCGGGGTCTGCTTCGGCTGAAGACGGGACGAGATGTGCCAGCAGCTGCCCGGGACCTGCAGCGCCTGGCAGAGACCGATGCCCCTGACCTCGAGTTCCTGCTGCGTCTCCTGGAGGCCCCGGAGCGACAGAGCCTCGCTCAGGTTTGCCTCACCCCGGCCACGCTGCCCTCCCTGGGACCTCAGGCGGCAACGTCCCCCTGCTGAGTTAGCTGCAGCTGGGGTGGGGTGGGAGCAAGCAGGGGCTCCAAGTGTGACCACCTGAGCCTGAGCAGCCACTGGCTTCTTAGGGTGAAGCCAGTGATGGAGAGGGTTCCCCCAGGGGCCAACCAGGGGCACCTCACCTGGCAGGAAAGCACCCCAGCACGCAACACCAGGCCTGGCTAGGAGAGGGAGACTGGGTGTTAGGGGGAGGGTCAAGGGGGTCAGGACACAGGCCTTGGGCTTCAGAGACGGAGGGATTCTCACGTCAGGACTGGGAAGTGCTCCTCTGCAAGGCCCCTTACTCCCTGGCTCTGAGTTCTGGCCGCAGGCACCATACAGTAGGCCACACCAGGCCTCACCAGGCCACATGAGACCACCTGATCACACCTGACCTGCCTGACCTCACCTGACTGTACCTGATCTCACCTGACCACACCAGACCACACAAGACCACACCTGACCATGAGACCACCTGATCACACCTCATCACGCCTGACCACACAAGACCACACCTGATCACACCTGACCCTGCCTGACCTCACCTGATCACACTTGACCACACCTGACTGCACCTCATTGCACCTGACCTCACCTGATCACACCTGACCACACCAGACCATACAAGACCACACCTGACCATGAGATCACCTGATCACACCTCATCACGCCTGACCACACAAGACCACACCTGATCACACCTGACCCTGCCTGACCTCACCTGATCACGCCTGACCACACTTGACCACACCTGACTACACCTGACCACAGAAGACCACACCTGAACACATGAGCCACCTGATCACACCTGACCACACCTGATCACACAAGACCACACCTGACCATGAGACCGCCTGATCACACCTCATCATGCCTGACCACACAAGACCATACCTGATCACACCTGACCCTGCCTGACCTCACCAGATCACGCCTGACCACACCTGACCACAGAAGACCACACCTGACCACATGAGCCACCTGATCACACCTGACCATACCTGACCACACAAGACCACACCTGACCACACAAGATCACACCTGACTGCACCTCATTGCACCTGACCTCACCTGATCCCACTTGATCACACCTGACCACATAAGATCACACCAGGGCATACCTGACTGCACCTCATCACACCTGATCTCACCTGATCACACCTTACCACACAAGATCACACCTGACCACACCTGACTGCACCTGATCTCACCTGATCACATCTGACCACATCTGACCACAGTAAGCCATGCCTGATCACACTAGGCCTCATCTGACACCTGGCCACGTCAGGCATTGGGGGGCAGTTGAGCTGGGAGCAGGGACTTTCTAGCACAGAAGGCCACTGGGGCTGGGTGCCTCAGTGCAGGCAGGATTAGAACACAAAGGAGGGGTCTTGGAGGCCAAATCCCACTGACCCCAGTATGGACCCTGCTGCCCCCCAGTATGGACCCCGCTGGCCCCCTGTGCAAACTCCACTGGCCCCAGTGTAGATCCCCACTGACCCCAGTGTAGATCCCCACTGGCTCCCTGTGTAGATCCCCACTGACCTCAGTTGTAGATCCCCACTGATCTCCAGTGTAGATCCCCATTGATCCCAGTTTAGATCCCTGCTGACCCCCGTGTAGATCCCCACTACCCCAGTGTAGATCCCTGCTGACCCCAGTGTAGATCCCCGTTGACTTCAGTGTAGGTTCCCGCTGATCTCCAGTGTAGATCCCCACTGACCCCAGTGTAGATCCCCACTGGCTTCCTGTGTAGATCCCCGCTGACCTCAGTGTAGATCCCCACTGATCCCAGTGTAGATCCCTGCTGACCCCCGTATAGATCCCCACTACCCCAGTGTAGATCCCCGCTGACCTCAGTGTAGGTTTCCCCTTATCTCCAGTGTAGATCCCCACTGACCCCAGTGTAGGGCCCCGCTGATCTCTAGTGTAGACCCGCTGATCCCAGTGTAGATCCCCACTGACCCCCATGAGGACACCACTGGCCCCCATGAGGACCACTGCCAGTCCCCAGTGAAAGGACCCTCACTGGTCTCCTCCCCAGGGAGCCCACAGAGGCTGAGATCCCACACAGCCCTCCTGGAAGCCCCCAGCACCCGGGGTTGGGGCCAGGGGCTGCTGGGGCAAAACAGGGAGAGCAAAGGAGTAAGGCCGGCAGGGAGGTCTGAGGTAAGAAGCCAAGCAGTGAACCACCCTGCCCCAAGGGGCCACCCAGGAGCCTGGCCAGGCGGAGACCAGGGTTACAGGAGGTCTGAAGGGAGGGTGTTCGGGTGGGGCCCACCAGAGGGCTCCGTGGACAGCCTTTGCAAGAGCTGGGAGGAGGCCCATGCTGTCTTCTGGATAGGGGAGGACCACCACCAGGTGACCACCAGAGGCCCTGGGTCCAGACAGCCAAGGACAGTGCTGGGCTGGGCTCAAAGCTTCCCAGTTGTGGGACACAGAGGAGAGATCTGCTCTTCCCAGAAAGGCTGTGCTGACCCTGTGCGGGCCCTGCACTGGCCCTGCACTGACCCTGTGCTGGCCCTGCGCTGACCTTATGCTGACCCTGCACTGACCCTGCGCTGGCCCTGCACTGGCCCTGTGCTGGCCCTGCACTGACCCTGCGCTAACCCTGCGCTGGCCCTGAGCTGGCCCTGCACTGGCCCTGAGCTGGCCCTGCACTGGCCCTGAGCTGGCCCTGCGCTGGCGCTGCGCTGGCCCTGCACTGGCCCTGTGCTGGCCCTGCACTGACCCTGTGCTGACCCTGTGCTGGCCCTGCACTGGCCCTGAGCTGGCCCTGCACTAGCCCTGTGCTCTCCCCCTCCTTCCCTCCCTCCCCACAGGCTGCAGCCCAGGAAGCCAGCGCCCTCCTGAATGCAGGGCGCCCCGCGCAGGCCCTGGGCTACTGCTCCTTAGCTGTCCTGGCGGATGGTGGCCCTGCTCACCTGCGCCTTCGCGCCTCCTGCCTAGCCCAGCTGCAGGAGTTCGGCAGGGCGCTCCGGGACCTGGACCATGTGGTCCAGGACGGCGCCGGGGACGGAGACCTACCGACTCGCGCAGAGGACCTCTGCTCCCGGGGCCACCTGCTGCTGAGCCTCGGAGATGAGGACAGGGCCGCAAGAGCCTTTGCCCAGGCCCTAGAGCTGTCGCCCACCCAGACCCAGGGCCGTCTGCTGGAGCGGCCAGGTCGGACGCGCGTGGCCCATGCGTTCCTACGTCTGGGACAGCGCTGTCTGGAGGGGCAGCGCTACGAGGAGGCCTGGGCAGCCGCTCAGAATGGGCTCCTGATCGACCCTGAACACGGTGGCCTGAGGAGGCTGAAGGCGAGGGCGCGGACGGAGGCATCCTCTGGCTGCCGGCTGCACTGACCAGGGGCTGACCTCCTGGGCTGGCCACAGGGCACTGTCTGCAAGGCTCCCTGCCTGGCGCCCCTCCCAGCCCTGGGGTGTCTGGATGGCCTCACTGCCCTGGTGGCTGCAGGTGGTACCCCTGACTGGGATCTTGCAGGTCGATGGGCCCTGGAGATGTACTTCCCAGAGGGCCTTCACTGGACAGGAAGCTACCTTGGTAGACTCCAGCCCAGCCTGAGTTCAGGGCTGCCTTCCTCAAGGACAGACCTCCGGGCTCACAGAGGCTGCCCGCATGGAGTCACCCCTTCCAGATGCTTCACCAGGAGTTCAGCCCAGAAAGCCCCCCCACAGTCCCCGAGTGGCTCAGGGAGCAGAGTCCAAGCTGCTAAGAGGCTTGTCCAGTCCATGCTGGGGGTGTAGCACAGAGCCCAGAACTGCAGTCCCCTCGTGAAAAGCTTCCTGCCCAGCCTCGCTCTGTCTCTCCTGCTTGGAGCCCGCCCCCCCCCCGGCCCCGCTTCTCCTGTCACTTGCCACCCAAGGTGTCACAGAGGCAGAGTCCACACTCCTGCCCTGCCTTCCCCCACCCCCACCCCACACACTTGCAGTGGCCTCCACCATGCCACTCCCTCCGCCCTCTCCTCCTGAGGTCTCGGCCACACTCACAGGCTCTGCCGCCCTCACCCCCCCTCCCCCGGACAGCTGAGTCCAGGGCCCAGGCAGAGGTGGCCATGCACCCCTCCAGGCACCAGATCAAGTGGGCAGATGTGGCAGGTGGCTCCCTTCCTGCATCTTGTCCACTGGGCCACCAAGGCCTGCCACAGCACCACAGAGGCCAGGCAAGGGGCTGGTGCCTGCCACCAAGGCCTACAGGGACAGGAGCCGAAACTGGCAGTGCCCCCCCACTGGCCTCCCCACTGCTGCCCACACCCCAGATCCCCAGGTTCTTTCCGCCTGCTGCCCACACCCCAAATCCCCAGGTCCCTTCCCACCTGCCTTCCCCGCCCCAAGTCACCAGATCCTTTTATGCTTCCCAAGAATTTTCCGTGAAAATCCTCACCAGTGCCTCCAACCCTCCATCCTTCGGTCCCTGGGTGTTCAATGGCACTTCGGGCATCTGCCAACAGCCGCGGAGCCGCGGTCAGGACCAGAGTCCTGCTGGCTCAGGTGGACAGCGAGAGTCAGGCTGGGCCATGGGAAGCCCCAGCCCTCGCTGCAGGACCGGCAGGCAGCACCCAGGTGCCCACCCTGCCCTGGGCTTCTCTCCCCGCCTCGCCCCGTCTGCCCACTGGGAACATCCTGATGCTCAGATACCATTCAGCCTGTCAGCTCCAGGACAACCTCCCCTGCTTCCCACCCCACCTCCCCGCCCCCCAGCCTCCTACCTCCCACCCCTCCCTGAGCCTCCCCCCTCCCCCCCAGCCTCCTACCTCCCCTCCCCCTCCCTGAGCCTCCCACCTCCCCCCAGCCTCCTACCTCCCACCCCCTCCCTGAGCCTACCCCTCCCCTCCCCCTCCCTGAGCCTCCCCCCTCCCCCCAACCTCCCACCTCTCCTCCCCCTCCCTGAGCCTCCCACCTCCCCTCCCCCTCCCTGAGCCTCCCCCTCCCCCCCAGCCTCCCACCTCCCCACCCCCTCCCTGAACCCTGAACCTCCCACCTCCCCTCCTCCTCCCCAGCCTCCCACCTCCCTGAGCCTCCCACCCCACCCCCACCCTCGCTTCTCCAGCCCCCCAAAGGCAGCACGCACAGCTCATCTCCCAGGTCTCCCTCAGCCTCAGCCTCCCGGTGCTGCCTGTGATCCATCCGCACCCCCAGGGGAGGAGGGTGGTAGAGGCCATCAGGGCACCCTTGAGAAGAGCCCCGAGGGCCACTCACCCTGTGTGAGAACAGGCAGGATGCTGGGCAGCAACCGCCCCCCCCCCCCCCGCCGCCAGCCAATAAAACACCTGCCTAAGGTATTCTGTTACAGCGTCATGAATGGGCCCACAGTTCCCCTACCCCTACCCCACTACTCCCCACTCCCACCCTAGGACCCACAGTTCCCCTCCTCCCACCCCACTACTCCCCCCACACACCCCAGGACCCACAGTTCCCCACCCCCACCCCAGGACCCACTGCTACCCTCTCCACCCCCACCCTGGGACCCACAGTTCCCCTCCCTACCCCCACCCCAGGACCCACAGTTCCCCTCCCCACCCCCACCCCAGGACCCACAGTTCCCCTCCCCACCCCACCCCGGGACCCACTGCTACCCTCCCCACCCCCTACCCACGGCTACCCCCTGCCACCCCACCCTGATGACGAGGGGCAGAACTGGTCACTGCCCACATCCCCGCCCACTGGAGCCCAGCCCGGGCTTTGTCTCAGAGAACTGTCCCCAGCCCAGGGAGGTCCCCAAACCATAACCCTCTGACAGTTCAATGGAAGAGTCCAGAACTGAGCTGGAGCGTGAGCCCAGGGCCCTGCAGCTCATGCTCTGCAAGTCCACTGGCCAGCCGCAGGGTCACCGCTCCACGTGCCCGGCTGCGGCTGAGAGAACGCGGGACCAAGGGTGCCCCAGGGAAGGCCGCTGGTGACCTTTGACCTCTCCCAGGTCACTGGACCGCCATGTCCAGGATTCTCTCTACCAAGCAGCCTGCTGTCACTCATGCCGTGAGTGGAGACAGTGGCTGTGCTGACCCACGCTCTCGCAGGGCATCCAGGCCGCCGACCCAGGCTCTCGCAGGTATCAGGTTCATGAGCTAGCTGCTCCTGGCCACCCACACCCCGCGGTCCCCACGCCAGGAGCTGTGCCTTCCCAGGGCTGATGAGTGACCAGCATCCTTGGACTCCGGGGACTGCTCCCGCTAAGCGGCTGAGCCCCGCACTGCCACTCGGAGTCTCAGGGTCCCATTCCTTCCTCTTCCACAACCTCATTTTCCCCTAAGAGCTGGAGGGACCGCAAACATCACCGGAGCTGCCGCAGAATTCCTCCACTGATCTCAGCAGTATGGCTGGGGCCGCAGGACCCAGGGACTCTGGTGGGCCGAGAGGCCTGTGCTCTCCCGGGATTCACTGTGTCCAGAGGCCTGACCATGACCTTCCTTCCCGTTGGCATCCAGATGCCCAGGTGAGCCCACGTCCTCCCGGTCACCTGGGCTGCCCTCCGGAGCCTGGGCACAGGACACGCACGTCAGGTGACGGCTGGCGTGGCCAGGAAGCCCTGGCGTGGCAGGTCCCCACAGGTGGTCCAGGGACCAAGCCCACGCAAGGGCCGCCCCGGCCTGCCCCAGGACCGCCCCCTGCGCGCGTGCACACCAGTGCTTGAGCGGGCAAAGTCCACTGGACGGGCCACACCCCCAGTCCATCTGGAGAACTGTGAATCCCTTGAAATCATGGACGTGGTAGCGGCCCAGTTCAGAGACGGCAGACCTGGCCTGGGAAGTGGCTGGAGTCAGCAGTGACCCCCAATGCCCCCTCCCCCAGCGCCTCCTCCCCCAGCTCATCCTCACCCGCCCCAGACTCCGGCAGCTACATCCTGTCCACACACTGGCCTTGCCACTGGGCAGCATTTTCTATCTGCCTCCACTCTGACCAATCCCCCAAGTCCCACTTGGCACGTAAGGGGTCTGAGGCCCTTTCACGGAAGCCCCCCAGCAGAGGGAGTGCAGGGCCTTCCTTCAGAGGCAGCATGCCAGGTATGGGGGGGGGGGGGGGCTCCGAGGCCAGCACTGACTCAGGGGCGCAGGACCGAGGGTCTGGAAGCTGGTAACCAAGTCAGGCCTGGAACAGGGAAGCCTGGATGGGGTGGGGCACCTGGGATGGGGCGGCCTGGGATGGGGCGCCCGCGCTCCGGCTGAGGTTGACTCTGCCCAGAGTCCATCCCCTCCCAGCAAGTAGGCTGGGGTCCCTGGCTGGTATCTGGGACCCTGGGGGACAGCTCTGGGTAGAAAAGGGACTGTCCTGCCTCTCCAGCCAGCCTGCCTGCCCCGAGGGTAGGGTTCCAGCCCCACATTCCCCATGGACCATGCATAGCAGCATCTACCCCTGGCTGACATCGCAGCTAGGCCGCCCTGCAGCCTGGCCCTCCCGCCAGTCAGCAACAGCAAGGCCCACCTTGCTTGCAAGGCCCTGGGAGCCCACCGCCCTCATTAGAAGGGAGAGAAGACCCAGGAAGGGGCCTGCCAGCCCCCTCGGGTGACAGGGACGGGAACTCCCAGGCCAGGTGAGCACCTTTCTTCCCAGCAGCCCCTGGGGCTTATCAGACTGAAGGTTTGAGGAGAAAGGAAGAGGAGCTTGTCCGGTGGCTCACGCCTGTAGTCCTTGCCACTCAGGAGACTGAGCTCAGATGCTTTCTGTCCAAAGCCAACCTAGACAGAAAAGTCATAAGATTCCGTCTCGATCAGCAAAATACCAGACTGGAGGCATGGCTCAAATGGGAGCGTGCCAGCTGTGAGCAATCCAGCTGAGAGAAGGCGCGTAAGGCTCTGTGTTCAAGCCATGAGACCGTCATAAAAAGAAGTAACTGCAGGGGAACGGGAAGGGAAGGGAGGGGGAGGCACTCGTGGGGGAGGACCCTCACCCCCAGGAGCCTCGCCTGCCCCTCCCCCACACAAGCCCGCGGAACTCCAGAGTGCCCAGCATCACAAAGGAGGCGGGAAGTGACCTCACCGCGAGATCCTACCTGATACCACTCTCCTCCATCGGGAGCCCCACTCCCTCGACTAGCTTCACCCCAGTTCTGGGACAACCCAGCCTTCAGGGCCCTGGCCAGGGGGTGGCCACTCCTGAGAGATCACAAGGTGAGTGAGCCAGGGCTGCCCTGCCGGCGCCCGGCCGGCTGCGCTGACGGCGGCAGGGAGGGAGCCTCGCGCCCCTGCTGCCCAGGATCTCCAGCGCCCGGGCAGGGGGCTGCGCCGTGCGGCTCCCCGCCCCCTCCACAGCAAATGCACAGAGGCCCCCAGAGCATCTCCATGGAGACTAGGCGTGGTGCCAGCTGCAGCTGGGCCTGGCCACCACAGGCGCCGGCCACGGCCCGGCTC